AAGGTTGCCTGCACTAATAATTTCTCAGCATTTGGCTTCATTGCGTGCATAGTTGTGGGTAGCTTGAGATTGTTTTGATGTATTAAACCAAGATCGACAAATGTAAGAAGGTTAATGTGAGCATGTTTCAATTTATGTTTTTGAACCTTAACCACTCCACGTTCGATCCTGAATTGGAGAAGGCGGTCCTCTTTGCTGTTGGAAATACTCTTGTCTGTGACGAGCTTGAAGAAGCCAAGGTTCTGAGCTGGACTGGAGAGAGGTTTAAAGGTATGTTCATTTTAGGTGGGATATACTGATATACTTGCACTAAAGTTGGCTTTGATTTTACGTATCTTCATTTCTATTATTTCCAGTTGTTACTGTTGATGGTATATTACTCACAAAGGCGGGAACAATGACTGGTGGTACCAGTGGTGGAATGGAAGCAAAGTCTAATAAATGGGATGATAAGAAAATTGAAGGTTGGCTTGTCACCAGCTGGTTTAAAATGTCTTCACTTCCAATGTATTGTCTTAGAGTCAACATTTTGGCTGTGCAGGACTGATGAAAAAGAAAGAAGAATATGAACTAGAATTGGAAAAGATTGGATCTATTCGAGAAATGCAAGTAAAGGAGTCCGAAATATCTGGTAAAATAAGTGGACTTGAAAAAAAGATTCAGTATGCTGAAATTGAGAAGGTAACAACCCATTTATCTTTTCCAAGATCAGTGGTCTCATATATCTTACTTGCTGTTGTGAAGCGAACCCTCATTTGAATGCCATACATACCTTTTATCTTTCCTTCTGCTAGGAGCAGCTGTGATAATTTACTTCACTGTGCACTATTAAGGAATATACTAATTAGTGGATTTTTTTTTTACAGAAAAGCATGAAAGACAAACTTCCACATCTTGAGCAAGAGAAGAGGAATATTGCTGAAGAAAGTAGACGCATAACTCTTGAACTTTCTAAGGTGATTGAATATCCTTTTCTGATATTGGTAAAGTTAAAACCTGATGACAATAATATGACTGAATGCCGTTTGTATTGTAGGCAAAAAATGAGGTTGATAAGAGGAATACAGAAATCAGGAAGTTGGAGAAAAGAATCAATGAGATTACCGACCGTATCTATAAGGATTTTAGCCAGTCTGTTGGTGTTGCAAACATACGTGAATATGAAGAAAATCAGCTCAAGGATGCTCAATATGTGGCTGAAGAAAGGCTGAATCTGAGTAACCAGCTTGCTAAGTTAAAATACCAGTATGTCTCTTATGCTCTGTTGTTCTAGTTGCATATAAGATTTATTCGAACTTCTCGTGTACAATTTTAGTCTCTATCGATAGAGCTACGCCAGCTCCCTATTCCCATCAAGGAGAGGAAGACACTAGACTAGTTCTCTCATTCGCAAGTCACTATACTATTACTGTTGCCCATTTCTGTGCTAACATAGCTCCGACTCTGAAGTGAACTTTTCATTTCTGGTCAAAAATAAATGTTTTGCTGTGCATCCATCATTTTGAGTATCGCGGGCTTTATAAAAAGAAGGCACTAAAATTCTGTGAAATTTATGTGATTAGTAGGCCGCTATGGTCTACGTGATCTTGTATTACCAAGTGTGTAAGGGTCAGTATATGTAGCATGTAAAGATCGAAGAGTCAACAAAATCTGCAATACGCTAACTGGTTGGCTGAGTTGAAGTACTGCTTTTGGTTGAATGAATTAAGTTGTACAATCAGAGTAAAAGGAAGCAATTTTTCTTGGCCAATGAATTGATTTTTATTTTGTTTTTATTTCAGGCTGGAATATGAGCAAAACCGAGATGTGGGGTCACGAATTCGAAAGCTAGAATCTTCAATCAGTTCTTTGGAAACAGATTTGGAAAAAATACAGCAGAGGAAGTCTGAACTGAAGGAGTTAACAGAAAAGGCTACTAATGAAATCAACAATTGGAAGAAGGAAATGGGAGGTATTGATTCTATTTCTACATAAATCTGTTGGCCTTTTCAGTTCTATGCTTTTATTTTTCTTAATCTCAGTGCTATTTGAGTTGTCAATTTGATGATTTCATGCATTGTCGACATCAATATGATCCAGTAAAAGTACATTGTCCGTATATGAGTTTGCTTTGTCAATATGGATGACCTTATCTTTTGGGATGTACATGATCGTGCTCGACTTCCTGCGTTAACTGTATGGTTACACTACATCTTAAAAGACAGCGATAACATTAAGATAAAATGCTAGTCTGAAAAATGGCGATGTGAGCATTCAGTATGATAGATTCTCTTTATTTTCCTTTGCTTACATAAGCATAAGTTACACATTTATTTACTTTGTTCATCACCATAGTCTAATGTTGTTTGCCTAGCACAAATCTGCAGTGGTATCTTCTTTCATAGAGATGTGAATATCTAAAACTCCTGCTTGCAGAGTGCAAACAAAAATCGGAAGAGTATGAAAAGGAAATCCTGGACTGGAAAAAGCGGGCTTCTCAAGCGACAACAAGCATAACCAAACACAATCGTCAGATACATTCTAAGGTACAATGGAGATTCATCAAATCCTTTCCCAAATATTTGTTATGTCTGATTATATGTGCACTAAAGCTTCCATATGCTATCAGGAAACGCAAATTCAGCAGCTGATCTCGCAAAAACAGGAAATAACTGAGAAATGTGAGCTCGAACGTATCACCCTTCCTGTTTTATCAGATGCTGAGGAAGAAGATGACTCAGATGGGCCACAGTTTGACTTTAGTGAGTTAGATAGAGCTTATCTCCAGGAGCGGAGACCATCTGCTCGTGACAAATTGGATGCAGAATTTAGGCAGAAAATAGAATCTAAAACATCGAAAATTGATAGAACGGCCCCAAACTTGAGAGCGCTTGACCAGTATGAGGCTATACAAGAGAAAGAAAAGCAAGTTAGCCAAGAGTTTGAAGCGGCCAGGAAGGAGGAGAAACAAGTAGCGGATGCCTATAATACTGTTAAGCAGAAGAGGTATTCAAAATTTCTCTTGTGAAATGATCTTTAGAGCTTTGAATAATATTGCTACCATATAGTAACAACTTTATGGTGGAACCAAAACCGGACAAGAAAAATATGAAGATTTTAGTTGTGTGGAAATTACCTGATAGAGTTAGTTACTGTTTGGATAGAATGCACACATGCACATGTACAAAGAACACCTCAGTTTTTCCGAACCAAATTCATATATTCCATTAGAGTTTTTGCTGCTCACTTCATATTGTTGTATAGGTATGAGCTATTTATGGAAGCTTTCAACCACATTGCTAGCAACATTGACAAGATCTATAAGCAACTAACCAAGAGTAATACGCATCCGCTGGGTGGGACTGCTTATCTAAACCTAGAAAATGAGGATGATCCTTTTCTACATGGTATAAAGTATACCACGATGCCCCCAACAAAGCGATTTCGTGACATGGAACAGCTCTCTGGAGGAGAGAAAACAGTTGCAGCCTTGGCGTTGCTCTTCTCCATCCATAGGTACCTAGATATCCCATATGTGATTCTCTTTATGATCTGAGATTTTGGCCTACGCCCGTGTAAATACAGTAGTTATTATTGCAAAAGGAAGTTACCATAGTCAGTTGTTTTGAGGTTTTGATGAGGTTCATGGTGTTGTTTTCCTTTCAATTTTTGCAGCTATAGGCCTTCACCCTTTTTCATACTTGATGAAGTGGATGCTGCGCTCGATAATTTAAACGTCGCAAAAGTTGCTAAATTCATTCGTAGCAAATCATGCCAAGCGGGACGTGACAATCAGGATGCAGAGGATGGGAATGGCTTCCAAAGCATTGTAATATCTCTGAAGGACAGCTTCTATGACAAGGCCGAAGCTCTGGTTGGAGTTTACAGAGACACCGACAGGAGGTGATGATTTTCCACATCAATCTTTTCTTACATGTATATATTCTTCATGGGTACTTCCAAAAATTTTGGCTAATATCTGAGAACTCCTTCGTGATATATTTGCTGCAGTTGCTCAAGTACGATGTCATTTGACCTTAGAAACTACCAAGAATCGTGATTGGTTCTCCAATCCCCCCGGGGTTTACTTTTAGGGTTTAGGTAAGTATAATAAACCCTAACGTTGTATATATATGAAGTACTGAATGGTGTCTAGGTTTTAAATACTGTCTCGCAACGTTAAAAGGTATTTCACAGTGGAATGGTGCTTTATTTGCGTTTTGATGTGGCATAGGACCTCCTAAGATCTGACAATTTAGAACATGTGGAACTTTTTTTTTAATATGATATAAAAAACTCTAGTTGAATCTGGTTGACGTCTTATAGACTATGATAATAGTTTTTATAGACATGTTTTTAAGTTCTACTGAATGGTTCTTCCTTTGTCACTGTTTTAAAAAATGATGTGGGTGAAATTGATATTGTGATTTTGGTCATACGAACTCTTTCATTGTTTGAACTTTGAAATATGCCGTATGGATTTGTATTAATCATAATGTCGATGTTAAGGAAATTATGATGGTCTTAAGCAAAATGTCCGGAATCATTTGGGAGTAATGGTCAATTCGGAGCTAGAAATCAAATAATCAAAAACCATTTTTGTTGTCCCACAGGCTTTTAAAAATCTTGAAATCAGGAGGACACAGCAATAAATCTGGTTTGGCTTAAGCCAGACAAAGCTTGAGTTCATCAGATTTGACTTTTCAGATTTAGACATAATCTTCAATTCTTAATCCTATTTTTAAAGGATAAGATCCGACTGATTTTCAATATTTGGTCTTAATTGATACTATTCTTTTTTTGTATGTTTAATTGTTTTACCAATTTTGAGTTATCTATTTTTATGGTTGTCAACTTGTCTTCAATTGTTTTCTATCAATATTTTTCACATCAATAATTTTTCAGATGACAAAAAAAGATGGATACGTGTCATGTGCCCAATAGGAATGACATCACTTGCGTCTTCCTTTTCTCTTCAGTAATCATTAAAGTAATCTCACATTTTTTAAAAAGTTTAAATAAAAAAAAAACAGCGGAGGGAGGCAAAAGAGAAAAAAAAAACAGAAAACGAAAACCAGAAAACCTTTCAATCATTTCATTCGTTCTTCTTCTTCTTCGTTGATCTGGAAATCAAAGTAGAGAAACTTGTATACCAAGAGAGAAGACGAAGAAACAGAAAGCAAATTGAATGGCAAGAACCAACAACAAATACACCTCCATCAACTACAGCCAAATCCTCCACAAAGATCCTCCTTCTTCTCCTTATGCCTCCTCCTCCTCCTCCTCCCCCGCTTCTTATTCCTCCGTCGCTCGTTCCAATGGCCGTATGCTCGTTCTCACTAAACCTACCCCTAAGCCTCTGAGATCTCCCTCCGTTTCCGCCGCCGCCACCATCACCACCACCCCTCCAGCTCCGAGGATTCCGGATCAAGCCGTCTCTGATCCAGATCCCAATCAGATCTCTCTTCGTCCCTTAGGTCATACCGGACCTGGCTCCTCGCTTTCATTTCCAGTTCGAACACAGGAAATCGAGAAGGTCCAAGAGGTGCCTGTGCATGCTCCGGCTCCGATTTCTCTGTCCCCGAAACCTGATCGATTCGTGCCGCCGCATCTTAGGCCAGGGTTCGTTCGAAAGGATGAGAAACCTGGACTCGACCCTTCTCGAGTTAGAGATCCGAATCCGAATCAGAGATTGGCTTACCAGGAACAGCCGCGGCAGGGACATTTTAGGCATGGACAGACCGGACGGCCCAAATCGGGCGGGTATGAGAGGATCCGGACGGATCCGAGATCGGCTGGAAACCGACCCGGCACCTCCGGATGGTAATGTCCATCGCTCTCGTAGTCAATAGTGTAATATAAGGGATACTTGGGTGTTTAGGAATCCTACCTCTATAGCTCAACCCAAACTATCTTGTTGATTACCTGCGCACGTTTTTGATGGTTTTGGCCTTTCATAACTGATAATCAACTAAATTGGAAATTAGATTCTACAGATGGTTTGGCTTGAGCCGAATCCACTAAGTGTCTGAACATAAGGATTCGTATGTTGGCTTCGTTTTGACCAAAGAGAATGTCCATTACAAAATCTTCACTTGTACTCAATTGAGAGATGAAGAAAGTAATATCGATGGTTTTATGGAAAAGCTACTCTTGTTTCTCCTTACATTTGTTTTTGTGTATTGCCATGGATAAATCTTGGAATCTATCTCTGTCTATTGCTCTCATCTCATCTATGTTTGTCGTTTGTTTGTTTGTTTTATTATTTTTTGTTGGAAAGCTGTAACTATTGATGATGTTTGTGCAGATGAGCTTGCTGGGTTGATGTCCAGTTAACTCACTCGATGATGGAGATGGAAACTACCTCAACTTTACATCGTCTTCTCAAGAAAAAATTTAAAACAAAATGACTCTCTTTTCTTACTTCTTCTGATTAAACCAGAGATGATCAAAGACCACCCCAAGATTCAGTAGAGTTGTAGATTTTGTTTTGGGATCAGGGTGATACTATGACACAATGCCACTTCTCTTACTTATGGTTTCAAAACTTTGTTGTTCATGTACCTATAATTCTGTTTAGCACGTGTTGTTTAGGTTTTAATCTATTATGCAGATTAAACATCTTTTGGGGTTTATAAGTAAAAGATTTCCTTCTTATGGAGAAACTTTCAGGCTTTTTCAGCATCTTATATTTCAGATTGTTCATACATTACTGTTCTTCCCTGTTTTTTTATATCTTCACTCAAAGCCGATATTTCACTGCATTTGTGTCAAATCCGATACCAATTTATCAAGACAGTGTAGCTGTGAGAGCTTTATTGAAACAAATCGTATCATTTGCAACATCAACCATGTTCTTCAAGTCATACAATCCTTTTCAGTCACTTGCAATTGCAATATGTTTCACCAATTCCCACTTTTGAACTCCTCCATTACAAAGACTTTATTCTAATGTAAGACAGTTTAAATCAGTAAGTGTCACGCTAATTATACCTCTAATACAATCACCATTCACCACCAATCGCTTTACAATCAATCACCACGGAAACGCAACGAATCTTTAATTTACCGATTTACCCCTACGTCTCCATTAATTCGCTCTCTCTCTCTCTCTGATATTTAGATCTCTCCACAAAGCAAATAATCAAAAAAGCTCTCTCTTTCACACAGATCAGCAATGGGATCTCTGCCACCGCCACATCTCGATTTCTCATCTGTGGATCACGAATCCCTCAAAAATGGCGGATCCGGGCATGTACATCAAGAGATCTCCCGAGATAACCTCCTCGATCTCTTCAAATCTCAGCAAGATCTTCTCAATCACTTTTTCAAACATCTAGACCTCTCCCAAACCTTAGATTTCGCTCGCATTCTCCTCTCTTCCACCGGAACCGTTTTCTTCACCGGCGTCGGTAAATCCGCCTTCGTCGCTAACAAGGTTTCTCAGACGCTCGTCTCCCTCAGCTTCCGCTCCTCCTTCCTCTCTCCTCTCGACGCGCTTCACGGTGACATTGGCGCTCTCTCCTCCCGCGACGTTCTCGTTCTCTTCAGCAAATCCGGCGCCACCGAAGAGCTCCTCCGTCTTGTTCCCTGCGCTAGGGCTAAAGGCGCCTTTCTGGTGTCTCTTACCTCTGTTTCCGGGAATCCACTCGCCGGAGTTTGTGATATGAATGTGCATTTGCCGCTCCAGAGGGAATTGTGCCCGTTTAATCTTGCTCCGGTTACGTCCACGGCGATCCAGATGGTGTTCGGTGATACCATCGCCGTCGCACTCATGGCGGCTAGAAATCTCTCCAAGGAAGAGTATGCATCCAATCATCCCGCCGGTAGGATCGGCAAGAGCTTAATCTTCAAGGTCTCGTCTCGAAATCTCTCCTTTCAATTTTGCCTTTGATTATCATAATAAGCTTAAGAACCAGAGTAGCATTGATTCTCCATGATTGATGTGCATTCGAAAGTGATTAATACAACAATGGGAGTGAATCTGTTAGCTATATTTTTGCAGGTAAAAGATGTTATGAAAAAGAAAGATGAGCTTCCGATTTGTAAAGAAGGAGACTTGATAATGGATCAATTAGTGGAGCTGACTAGCAAAGGATGCGGATGTTTACTTGTGGTTGATGAACATCACCGCTTGATCGGTACATTCACTGATGGAGATCTTCGTCGGACTCTTAAAGCAAGTGGAGAAGCAATCTTCAAACTCAGTGTTGGAGAAATGTGCAACAGGTGAGAAAATGACCAAAACAAAGAAAATACTCTGCTTTGGATCCTGTAAGTATATAAACATTGGTTTGTGTTGAAGTTTATATTTTGCACCTATTGTATAAACAGGAAGCCGAGGACAATTGGACCGGAAACAATGGCAGTTGAAGCTATGAAGAAAATGGAGTCCCCACCTTCGCCTGTACAATTTCTACCGGTGGTTAATGAAGACAACACCTTGATTGGAATTGTAACATTGCATGGTTTAGTTTCAGCTGGTCTCTGAACACGAAGCTGCCTCTATGCCAGAGCTACACACATAAGTTCATTCTTTTACATTAAACTCAGATCCAGAATATTAGTGAGTTGTTGTTGATATCCACAGCCAGTGAATTTTATTGTTTCTATCTACTTGTACTCCATGTATTGTATTGTACTCTCTTAATCATTGTATTCATATGTATAGAGTATAAGAAGATTCTTGCATCTTTGTCCTCTCTTACCTTCATTATCTCCAACAACAGTGTTGCATTCATTTATCCCTTAGAGCTAAACATATTTCCTATAGTCGCTGCACGTAGCACCATGAATGATCTCCTCCTGTGGTTGCAGATTGAACAGAAAATGGCTGAAGGAAAAGAAACAATGCAGTTTGGTTTTACCCATTTATAGAGAGTTTTTTTTGCCTATACAAGAAGATTCAACCCATTCACAGGATCAATGCTAACACGATCAGTTGTACGTAGCCTTCAAGTTAGCTCTGTGACGTCTTGCTGACCTGAGACGAGTATACATACATGTGTGTGTATAAAAATACACTAATCGCATTTATCCGTCTTTTGTGTTCCTGTTTGATTTTTTGATTCTAAAATTTCTTCTTTGGTTCAGCAATAACAATGCGATTTGCGCGATTTCATCATCTATCCATTCTTTCATTTGTTACATTGAACACCAAAAACTGGTTCTACAAATTCGAGAACCAAAACTGAAACAGATATGTGAAAGAATTAGATCCTATTGCATTTAACGTTCAATAAAAAAGTATACGTAAAAAACAACTTGAGTTTCTTGCAGTGAGAAGAAATCTTGAGAGAGAGAGAGAGTGAACAGAGATACAAGAATAAATAATGACAAAAGTCTTTCAGAATCTCTATGCGGTTGACACCGTGCTGTTCTGGTTGTTGTTGCTGCTGCTTTCATCATTGTTCTCGTTCTCACCAGACATTTCCTCGAGAGACTTGCCTTTAGATTCAGGAACCAACAATGTAAAAAACATCCCCAAAAGGTTAACCACACCCAAAACAATGAGCGAGTTCTTGACACCAATCCCTGGAGGATATCCATGTTCTGTCTTGGTCTTGTCAGGACTTTGTGCCAAGTACAAGAACCCAAACGCACCAACCATTGCTCCTAATTTTCCAGAAGCCGCGGAGATTCCATGGCAGGTTGATCTAAACCTAGCCGGGAAGATCTCAGCAGGCACCACGAAAGTTGTTGCGTTAGGTCCAAAGTTTGCAAAGAAGAATGTTAAAGAATACATCACAACGAATCCGATTCTGTTCTCCTTGTGTGTCCAGTGGTCGTAAGGAATAGCGAGAGCGAACATGAACACAGTCATGAAGAAAAAACCCATCATCTGTATCGCAAACCTACCAATGACGTCGATGAATGCGACTGTGAACCAGTAACCAGGTACCGTGCTGCACAAGGCAATTAGGGTTTGCGCACGTGCGATCTTGAAAACCTCTTGGATCGCATTCATTGTCTGAGCCGGAGGGATCCATCCAATCGCGCTGAAAATATCTTTCTGGAAAAGGTTCTGACTGTAGAAGGCAATGTCAAGTAAGAACCATGTGCTTGTGGTTCCAAGCAAATGAAGGCCATGGCGTTTCATGAATTCCTTGGAGAACAAGCCAAAGGAATTGCTCTTATCTCTAGAAATCTCCTCTACTCTCTGATGCTCTGCTTCAAGCTCCACTTGCAAAACCTTAGACATGTTCGAAGCCGCTAGCTTCGCGTCCTTGGCCACAAGAGCCGTGTACCTCGCAGTCTCGGGCATCTTCGACCTCGAGTAATACGTCATCGCGGCAGGCACAGCACCAACCATCAAAATTATCCGCCACACATAATCCGCCTGAGGAACCGTAGATGCCAAGGCATCCACTTTATAGGCTGGAGCTGGAAACCTAGCCTCGAAAGCCGCAGCCACAATGATCGCAAAAATCCCTCCGGTCAAGATTCCGAACCCTTGCATCGCGAAAACCGCGGCTATAAACGCGCCACGTGTTTTTTTATTGGCGTACTCGGACATGATCGTGGCGGATAACGGATAGTCACCGCCGATGCCAAAACCGAGCCAGAACCGGAAGAAACAGAGCGTGGTCATCACCGTTTTCGAGTCTCTGCCAAAGGAGAGACCCGAAGCGATTGAGCAAATGACCATGACCATGAGAGTCATGCCGTAAACTTTTTTCCTCCCGAGTTTGTCACCGAGCCAGCCGAAGAAGAGCTGGCCAGCGAGCGTACCGCAAAACGCGACTCCGTTAACCGCGGCTGAGACGTTTGGAGGCAGCGTTCCAGGCTTCTCTGCGCCGTCCACGTGGTAGTAAATGCGGCCAAGAAGCTTAGTGACGAGGGAGATACAGAAAAGGTCGTAAGCGTCGGTGAAGAATCCCATTCCGGCGATGATAATCGCTGTGAAATGGTACCATTGCGTTTTCGCAACGTCGAGTGCGTTTAGCACGTTTAGTTGATCTCCTGCCATTCCTCTCGTTCTCTTCTTCTCTGCATTAATATTAAGAAAACACAATCAGTATCATAAACATAGCTTGATTTCACAAACCTTTTTATTGCAGAGTTTTGTTTTGTCCGAATTATGAACAATTATTTTACAAAATTATATGGCAATATTGGATAGAGACAACGCATGCTACATTCGGAAAAAGCTATGTTTATTGGCAGGTTAAAATCTTGTAGTTGTTGTTACGAACAAAACAGAATGTGGAATGAGAGACGAACAAAAAGGAAACATAACCAAAGTCCTGCTTAATCATCATTGAGTTATTTCACATCTAAACAAACAAATCAACACGTAAAACAGATTCATCAACCACACATAAGTAATTAAGAAGAAATTTTCATAAAGAGTACGTATATATTTGCTTACTTTCTCGCTGACAAACTCTTGTGGGATTTGTCTAAGAGAAGGAGAAGAGTGTTTGTTGTTTCTTCAAGAAACTGTAGAGAGAGGGGTGATAAAGAAGAATGAGTTTGTGAGATATGACATAGAGGCAGCGTCGTGAACGGCTACTTATACGTGATCCTTTTCTGTTTTTGCTTTGACATATTTTTTTCTTACATGTGGTATATTCTTCTGACAACGACGTCGTCTTTCGCTTTGACTTCTTATTTTTCGCATCCTATTTCTCCTCCACCTTGTTTTTACTTCTTTTAGGAGACAATATTGGTTCTGTTATTTTTCAGTTAAAATACTTTGTTATTGGAATTTTTCTTTTTAGTCTGTTCGAGTTTTTCAGACTAATTAACGGTTAAAACCCCGCTTTTTTCGAATATTCTTAGGAGAAAACAAAAATATTCGGACACATGAGCTGTTTTTATTTTTCATATGGTAGTTAATCCCAAATTAGTGTACGTAGAATTTGTAAGAGAAGACCATAACTGTCGCATATTATTATTTTGACCATGAATAGATAAAATATATAGAAGTTGATTTGATTTATTAGTCTTCTTAGCTTCCGTCCACATTAATTGTAAGGATCTATTCTCTGTCTCTGACCAATCTATTAAAATTTTCAAATACGTATGAGAGATAAATCATGTCTAAAGTAATTTATTCTCTCTCCCGATGTTTTTTACAATAACATCTCACAATGTTTTACAAATCAGTGTTATATAGGCTCTAGAGATTCCATATGTTTCGATGTTGAAAATAATTTTAGGGTAAATATTGAGTGCCTCGATGTAATGTGGTTAATTAGACCGGCACTTATTTCATTTCCAAACTACCGTATATATCGTATTCGAGTAAAAAAATGATGTGTCAGTAAAATAATTTTTCCTAAAAACCCAAACGACGTAGTTATATGCGGCAAAGGAAATCGCGGGAAACAAAGTCAAGAACTGACTCGAGTGACGTGGCAAATAAGGGCCCACGTCTTTGGGTTTCCATCGGCGGAAAATCTACTGCCTTCTTCTTCACCGTTATGGCCTAAACCCTAATACATACTAGCCGTTACGCTCCCTCTCCTTAAAAGCACCACTTTTTCTCTCTAACTCTCACTACGTTCCCTATCTATCTCTCTTTGCAATGAGCTCCTTCGAAAACGTTTCAGAGAAGCCGGCTATGGCGTCAGAGTCTTCGATCCCCGAGCCACTATTTTCGACGAAGACTCCTGACAAGACGACGATTCTCCCCACCAGATCTCGTAACAGTGATGTCTCTTTGTCATTCCCAGATATTAAGCCCCAAGGCTCTCGATATCCAATCAAACCCGTCAAGAGACAGCTCTTGGCTTCGCCTCAAAAACCTGAAATAACTATCAAATTGCCCGAAAGGTTTGATTTTTTTGATTGATTGATTGGTCGTTCATACTCTGTTTTCAATTTGGACTCTGCTTTTACGATGTTGATTTTTTTTTTTTTTTTTGGCATCGCAGGTTCGAGATTCTGGGTGAATTGTTCAATGGGTTGGACACTGCGATTAGGTTGCTCAAATTAAAGGGTTCTTTGACGACATTTGCCAATATATGTCCCAAGATTGAGTATCTTACTAATCGGTATAGCTATTCACTTACTAGATTTTTCGTTTTCAATAAAAGGTTTGAAAGATTGACTATTGATGCATCTGATTAGTCTAATTGTGTGTTGTTTGTATAGGCTTGATTTTCTGCCTGTATATGTGTGTTGTTTGGTTGTATTCGTTTAATGTTTTGTTTGGTCGATGTGGGGGTGTACAGGATCTTCTCGTATGATCATTTGGCTCAGATGAAGCATATTTATCCAGAAGCCATTGAAATAAAGAGAGTATTGAAGTGTGATGAAGACACTAGCTGTATGAATCCCAGTCTTCATGTTAAGTTAAATACCGACGCCATTGTGCCTGAAGATGCAAATTGCGGAACTAAACACATGCAACTTAGGAAGGTGTTCCACTCAAAGCTTGTAGATTTTTACAAAGCTCATCCTAAGGTAACATATTAATCTGTTTTGTTCTTTGTAGCTTTTACGAAATGCTTTTTATATCTGATTGATTCTTCATTCTTTTGTATACAGGACGAGATTCCAAAAGAACTGCTTCCTGAACCTTTCAATTCCTCCAAAAGGGATAGTTGTTCAGACACTATAAGCGTAGACTTGGGAGCATCTAAACTTGAAAACGAAGGGTTTGATATTCAAATGGAGGAGATGGAGAAAGAACAACATAGAGTCGACAAAGTAGTTCCAGATTCGACTTTATTATTTGGAACTGAGGAATGCTTGTTATCACACACAGAGTCAAGAATAGTTGGAACCCCAGTCAAAGATTTATCCACTCCCTCCAGGGATCTATCAACACCAATCCGGCTCATGAGTGCTACACCGACATTACAGCCATCTAGAAGGTGTATTACGATGACTCCTCCAGATGATGATAATGACTCTATTAGATCAACAAATGGTCTGGAAAGGCGCTCATCTCGCACTAAGTGTCTGAATTTTGACACTCTTGAGGAAGATGGAACTGCGAAAGCTGGTGACATCAGTAACGTATCTTATGATGAAGGAATCAACTATGAAGCTGATGATGTTTCCGATGAAGAAAGTCTTGTGCACTCAGTAAGCGATGCGTTTTCCTTGAAACCTTTCACATTGTTTCAGGGCTTTGATTCATTTTCCGTTGCATAACCACATTGTGTTGTGTGTGCTTCTTGCAGATGAAAGAGAAACCAAAGCCTGAAACCGAGAAGCAAGATTTACCTAAGCTTGTTAACTTGATTCATAAGTTGTTTCACGCAACAAAGCGAACGATCATCACCAAAGAGGAGCTTCTTCACAAGATTATTGCATGCCAAATCAATATAACTGATACAAGTAGGGAACAGTTACATCGTATGTTCTACAATTTCTTACTCCACAGGCTCACAGTTTCTTTCTTGTTTTTCTTCTCAGAGGAAGTGGAGGAACAATACAGGTTGATGTTGCAGTTGGTTCCGGATTGGATCTCGGAAACAAAAGCATCTTCTGGGCATTTTCTTGTTCGGTGAGTATTATTAAACGTGGATGTTCCCACCTAAAATCATTGTGAGTTTTTATTTATTTTGGCCATATGTTCACAATAACAACAAAACACTCTTGCCTTGTATTAGCAACAGCTTTTGGCTTCTTCAGGCTTTAACATTCGTTGTACATCTTTTGGTGTCTGCAGCATCAATAAAATGTCGACTGCCGAAACGGTATGTGCAAGACTTGATGAAGCAACTTCACAGGGCATTTCCTCCGTCTACTGAAAACTAATTTTTGTTTTTTGCATCCTATTAGTTTCAGTTATCATTATCTCTTTATAATTTTTTCCTTTCAAGCTGATCCAACCTATATAAACTTACAATAATATTCATTTATAAACATATTCGACTATGAATTACTTCTATCAATTTTTTTTGAAATTTTAAGATATCAGATAAGGGGACAAAACTTTCATTAATCTTTGAGCTACTCTGGTAATGGGGTCACTGGTTCGAATTTTCGTAGAGAAATTATTATTTTCTTTTGGTTTTTGACAAATTAAAAATTAGTAGGCCACTAAAGATTTTCATGGGATTCAGAGAAGGTCGTGGACTCTTCCACTATTTGAGTCGCTCAATTAGTCAAAGAAATATCAAATGAGAAAATTTTTAACATAAAAAGGTAAATTAATGTCGATAATTTGGGAATCCTAGTTACATTAGTGGTAAAGCTAGGCACTTTAAAAGTAGTTCAATAGTGGAAACAAAAACAAATAAATCCTATGGAACACTACATTGGAACACTACACACGGGAATAAAGTAGCTTCTGAAAAATGGAATATAGTGGTTGTTCTTTGGAGTTTGTATATTACTTTGTTCTTTGCAAATACAAATGGCTTATAATACACATTCATATACATCAGCGTATAGTCAGTACAGAATTTGGTTATTTGATATTAAAAAGTGTGTATCACACGTCATGATGCTGTTTTTTTATGGAGACAAAGTCTTCAAAGACTAACAGCAACCATATGAGAATTAAAGTTGTTGAATATGACAGTTATATTGTTTAGTTCTACAATCTACAGTCACTCATATATACACACAAAAGACAACCCTCAGATTTTCCTCATGTGAACCCTCCTTTAAGAGCTTTGCTTGCTCTCTGAATCGCTCTCGCAACTCTCCACATCTCGTGCTCGATCATTCCTTCTGACGCGTTCATCGCAATGGCGTCTGCTATTCCAGGGAAAAAACCGAGCTTGCTATCTGGTTCAGCCGCAGGTCCATACACCTATACAAACACACAAACGCAAGGTCACATGAGTTTTTGGAAAACTGAAATCTGAATGAATAAAAAAAAATGATGTTATATATTACTCACAAGATGCTTGAACCATTCTTTTCCTTTGATCCCTTCTGAATCCAAAAACCCTCTTTCTGCAAGCATCATCCTGTCATTTAGCTCTCTTCTCTTGGCAGCTGCTGCAACATCATTTTTACTATATGCTTGTTCCTTTAACTTCTGCAAAATCAATCACCATGATAATGAATACGTGTGACGAAGAAGAAAAAGATTAAAAGGTTATAACTTTAATCAGCAAAATCCTTTAAAAAACCTTTGCTTCATCTTTGGCTTTTTCAGCAACATAAGAGAACTCTTGTATCGCCATGCTTAAGGGGTTAACAGAAACTTTCCCTTCTAAGAGCTTGCTTAATGTATCTCTATGTGCCTGAACCGTAACACACAACATAAACTCAGTTTTCCTTTCTATCTTTATGTATAAAGGGAGCAAATATAATATATACCTGCAGTTGTTCTGCATAAGAGATGTAATCAAACGGTATGACTGGCTCATCAGCCAAGATAATTCCTATAAGTCCCCAAATTCCAGCCACTGAGAAATACAGAAAGCAAAGAAGAGAGTTGAGAGTTTAACTTTCTTCACAGAGTCAATGAAACTGAAAGAAGATAGTAGTAAATCAAAAGAGAGAGAGATAAAAGGTTTACTAGCAACATGGCGATGAAACATTGGATCCGCATTACGGATCATCCAATCGTACGAGTCAAAAGCGGTGTGATAAACAGGATAGTCTGAAAAACTCACAGGATACATTATCGGCATCACTTTGCATTAATACTGTCATATACTGGAACGTTTTCCAAAGACTTTAAGGGAATCAAGTTCTGGTTTACCTGCTCCATAGTACATGTCTATAGATGGTATCCCGGCATGATGAAGAAAACCGGAAAAATCAGAATCTACTCTACTTAGCCTCTGTATCTGCATTACATTTAAACCATCCATCGTTCACAAAGACAAACGTCAAATCTGTAAGAAAAAAAAAACAAACTCTTTCAAAGGATAGTCTACTCACAAAGTTATTCTGAGACTTGAAAGTCTCTTCCACTGTCAAGCCTACGTCATCAGGATCCTGGACCTGACCACAAAGATGAATACCAGAGACCAACTAAGAATTCTATGGACTATTAAACCAAGAAAGTCTCACAATGCTTGAGAATATGCCTTCGTTGTTAGTTTTATTACCAGCTTCAAGACATCTAAAAGAAGACCGTCTAATTGAGGAGTTGCGCTAGCAAAAAAACCAGAGCCTTGGACCGCACAATCTACATTAAGATAAGCCACAGCACTTGCACCTAAGTTAAGAACATTTTCTTCAACCCATTCAGTTGATCCAATCTATAAAACAAGAAAGAAAGAAAAACACACACACACACACAAGATGAACAACTACAATCAAATGTGGTTTTAGTCAAAGCCATCAAGCAGATTCAGCTTTTTTCGAATAACTGATAAACTAACCATTCCGAATTCTTCTGCATCCCAACTGCAAAGAAGAATGGTCCTACGTGGTCTCCAACCAGATTTAAGCAACAGAGCAAATCGTCGGCTAATGTCGAGTAAAGCAGAAGTTCCACTGTTTGGATCAACAGCTCCATAAGTCCATGCGTCTCTATGGTTTCCAAGAATCACATACCGGTCTGGTTCTTCGCTACCTCTAATCGTAGCCAAGACATTCTGAATTTTCTTCATTTTCATCTCCCCCTAAAGTTTTAAAAGACGATAGATGGTCAACAGTAAGAACTTCAAAGGTCCAACTTTTACTGGTAAATCAAAACCAAAAAGAAAAATCAATGTCAAAAGTATAGAACTACAACTTGAGTGAGCTCAAATTCGCACTTTTCAACTACAATCAAATCCCAAAATCAGGACTAATTGGAACTTCGAAATCTAAAGAGAGTAGTCAAACTTGATTGAGCATAATTGCCACTATTTCAGCCACTTGTAAACGCCCCCCCAAAAAAACCAATACTATTACGGTTAAATTGGAACATTAAAAATCTAATTTTCATAAAGGTTTATAACGGAAAATCAATCACATAATAAAGACGCTAAGTCAAACCAAGAAACAATAACGGAAATGCGATATTCAAGTTACTGTACCTGGTACGTCATGTTCACAACCGTCCGGCCAGGTCCAACCCGTTGTCCTGACCCGACCCGACCCGAATTCCGCCACTCCACCGGAGCCCTAGCACCGTCAAGGGAAGCCAATATGATCTCTGCATTGTGGAGAGACAAAGGCAAAGATGGAATTTTTGGGAATCTCCGAGTGACCCGATCATCTTCCAAGCTCAATTTTTCACCTCCGACAACTCCGGGCCAACCCGGACTTACCGGGTCTCCGATTCCTCTCATCACCGTACCTCTCTCAATGCCGCCGGATCCACCACCGTCATTCTCGGCGTATATTAGCACGCCCAGCGCACCTTTGGTCTCTGCTATCTTCACAATTGCTCCTCTTCCCAAAGAATCTCCCTTTCTCGCTAAAACCACGCAATTTCTAACGCTCACTCCAATCGACTCAAGCGCACGATAGTCTCTCTCCTCGCCGTGATTCACGAAAACCACGCTACCTTGCGCCGAACCAGACGGCGAATAAGCGTGGTAAGGCTTGACGACAGGAGAGGAAGAGGAATCGTCACCTCCGGAAGCGTCGTAGACTACAGGCTCGTTCAAGTCGAACTCCACCGTCGTCTTGTTGCTAAAACGCGCCGTTACGGAGATATGCGCAGGATAAGAGAGGAGAGCCTCGTATTCGGCGACATGGGTGTCAAGTCCGAGGCTTTGGAAATGGTGGAGGACGTAGTGGAGAGTGTCTAAAGAGGGTTTTGTTCCGGCGAGGTGAGGAAGACGGGTCAAAGCGCGGAGGTAGGAGGAGATGGTGGCGTTAGAGGCGGAGGAGAGGAAGAGGCGGCGGAGAATGAGGGCATTATGGGAATTTCGAGAAAGGAGATGTGGAGTAGTGTTTGGGTGATGGAGCGTGTAGAAAGTGGCGACGAAAAGGACGATGACGAAGAGGAAAGTACAGAGCGGCGGTGGCTGTCGGAAAGGGAATATAGAGATTCCGGCGACGGTCGGTCTAGTTGTGAGAGGCTGCGACATTGCAGAGACAGAGAGAGAGAAGTGAGTAATTGTTTTTGCAGGAGTGGCTAAGCCAAAGTAAGTATAGTATATATTTCTTCTTTTTATATTGTCGTCAAGTGTCTTTCTATTTAGTACTCCCTCTTGATCCAGAAAATTTAATTTTTTTAACATTTTTACATAAAGTATGAGCCAGTAGTAAATAGGCAAATTCAACTATTCTCATTTAATACCTCTTAAAATTACTTATATACTATTATTAATCAATAAATGTAGATAAAAATTTTACAAAATCAAACTTTTTGAAACAAGAATAAAAAGGCAAAAAATCAAACTTTCTGAATCAGAGGAAATACTATTGTGTTGTGAAAACTTAGAAACTTTATTAATCACTCGAATGTATATATAGAGTACATAGGGAATCTAGGTTAAGTACAATGCCCTGATGGGCCTAATGGGCCGGTATAAGAGTCCATATATGATATGTGTTATAACACTCCCCCTTGGACGAGTGAACCAGGCCAGCTACTCAATCGGGATCTCGATAATGCGCTGGGGAATGTTGCCTCATTAAAACCTTACCAGGAAAAACCCAGTGGGACAAAACCATGGTGAAGGAAAAAGAGTACAACACGCATTACTCCCCCTGATTGTAGCATCACTGCAGATCTCTAAGTCTATACATTCCTATCTGTTTGACGAGCTTCCGGTGTGTTGAAGTAGGCAATGATTTGGTGAAGAGGTCAGCTGAATTCTCACTGGATCGGACCTGCTGAACGCTGAGAGTGCCGTCCTTCTGCCAGTCTGAGGTTGAGAAGAACTTCGGTAGAATGTGC